TTATTGTCATTAGCAGAAAACAAGAAACGGGAAGCAGGAGGTAAATAATTGAATGACTTCATGAGAACAAGTGTGTGTGGATGTCTTTGGGTGAAGCTGTTTGTACCTGTGAATGAGAAGAGATGCACATTGCTAGTACTGTTTTCTTTGCTGTGCTTGACTTTCTAAAGCTTCCTTTTTCTGCTTTTTAAGCACTGGCCATGCTGAGCCGTTCTGTAGCATGGCTGCACTGAGTCAGAGCTTTATACCTTGTATTGTAGAAATCGATCCTCTAAACAAAACAGTGCCATTTTTATGAGGGTGGTAGTTCCTCCTGTGAGGTCCGTCATCACAGTACGGTTGGCTGTTCCATCACTGCATAGGAGGAGGAGTTGATGAGGGCCACTGGACCCTCAGCTGAGATTGCAGCCACCCCTTCTAGACATTTGAATGCACTTCTGCCTTGATTGTGTCGAGGAGTCGGGAGGGTTGCTGTGGGGGTTCCTGGAGGTCCTAGAGTATCTAGGCCTGAGGCGGTTGAGGGTGGCCCCTCCTTCCGTCTGTAGCTGTGGGAAGCCATCACCCGTGCTGGGTTGGGACTTTCTAGTGCTGCTGTTCTGGCTCACCTATGCTCTTGCCCGCAGCCTCTCACTCATGCTCTGAGAGGGAGCCCAATAAACTTCTTGCTTCCAAAGGGAACTCTGGCAGCTTAGCCTTTGGTTGGGACCTTGTAAGAAAGGGGGTACATGTTGTTTGCCTCTCCCCCAAGAGAAGGGTTTTTCTGACACCCCACAACTGTCTTCTGGTGCTGGACTATTATCCAGACTGCCGTCCCTTTGAAAGGTAGTATTTGGAAGTTGAGAATTGACAGGAAGAAATAATTTCATTCAAGAGTCACCATCAAGGCTTCAGGATCCTGGTCTTCTTTGGTTATTACTCATAGTCATTTTTGGTGCCAGTGAATGGTGATGGCATAGTGATCTATGATTTTAGTTACCTTGGATTTGGGGTTTTAAGAGGAAAGTCCTCTTTTTCCATCTTCTAAAGTAGGCTCTCCCTCAGGGACTGCTGACTCATTCTGACTCATGTCTTTCATACTTTCTCTCCCACTGCTTGTATGTGGAGAGAGTGACATGGTAAAGGCTCGGAGCCCATTTGCAGAGTAGGGTCAGCAATAGGAGTGGGCTGGGCAGGGCAGAAGAGCCTCACTTATATTTGGGCTTTTTGTTGGTTGGTTGGTTGGTTGGTTTTTTCTTTAGATACCTTTCACATGCATGAGATTTTTGAGAAGATGCACCCTGTCTGCAGTACTCCCTGTCCCCTTTTGTTCAGCCTTTTTTATGAGCCTATGTTTGGAAAAATGCTAGTCGTAAGATGGACCAGAACAGTTCTAGTGCCTCCCCTTCCTTCAGCTCCAGCCCACAGCCCACAGCCTCCAAGAGCTCACTAAGATGTAAGGGGCCCCTGAGTCTCTTCTCAGCTTGAGGCTCCTTCTTTCCAGCAAGGAGAAGGGAAGGCAGGCGTTTCCCAAGACTCTCTTTAGAAACTCCCGAGCCGCCGCCTGCCATCTCTCAGATTCCATTCACTCCCTCTGAGAGTCCTGAGGTGTCCCTTGTCCACCTGCTGTCACCGCCCCTGCCCTCCTGGGTGTCAGATGTCTGTGGTGTAGACCTCTCTTCCAGGACCTTTGCTGGCCTGTCCGAAGGGGTCTGTGCACTCTGGAGTGGGGAAGGACACGCAGACTCATCAGCTGTTGCTTTCTTTCTTCCAGCTCCTCAAGCCCCTCCCCATTCCTAGTCCTCCTGGATTGAAGTCGTTTCCCTCCTCTAATGAACTCCAGTCTTCAAATAGAACTGGGAGCAGCATTGGGGGCATCGGGAATTTAGGAATCCTTGGTGAATTGTCTGAAATTAATGAGACCAAGAAGGGCAATCAAGTTCAGCTATACAAATTGCCTTGCGTTCTGGGCCTTGATGATTTAAATTGTAGATTATAATTAAATGCCTGCAAATAGAATGAGAAGTAGCTGCTAAAGTCTTTTGACCTGGAAGTTCCTCTGACCAATGAACTAGTATAAAATTAGGATGTAAATACTCCTTTCGGAGGATTGCCATCTTCAGAGCACTTACAGTGCATGTGACACAAACCACCTTCCTCAGAGTCAGGCGGACAGGTGGAGTGGGCAGGACACAGGTAAGAGACAGTGGGTTGTCTGCCACCCTGGGGCACGATGTCAGGGCTAGGCGGGCTGTTTGTGAGGTGACACATCTCTCTGTCCGGAGGGAAGGGCTCACTGGCCCCTTCACTGTAGGCAGAGAGAAAGGCAGCAAGCAAGGCATGGGATAGATACTGAGCGTGCACTCAGTCAAGAGACAACAGCGCACCCCGCGGAGGAAGTCATAGCCAGGAGTTAACGCAGCCTTCTAAACACGTGAAGGCGGCAGTGTGGAGCATGGGACACAGTTCCCTGTAACCACTCCTACCTGCTGGCCATCTTGTCACAGCCTTCACAGGCTGTGGCTGGTCTCTGTAAGTTGTTGTAACCAGAGAGCAGCTGGTACAAAACTGATAGCGTTTGCTCTGCTGTCCCTGTTACCACCATTCAAAGAATTAAGTATACGTCGTACCGAGGCACAAAACCTGCTCGCATACTGCTCAGTGGGTTGTCACTCGGAACCTGCACCCCGGCCAAGAAACAGAACCTCCTTAGAGGCCAGGAGTCGCTCCCACCTCTGTAGCTGACATCCACGCCTGCACCACACCGTCCTTTTGACATCACTGCACAGACTCTGGCTCCTGCCTGCACTTGACCAGAGTGCTATTCTATTGTCTCTAGAATCCCACTGTTAATGACTGTCGCTGCTCTCAATGTTCTCCATTGGGTGTGTGTCTGTGTGTCTGCGTGCATGTACACACACACACACACACACACACACACACACACACACACACACACACACATATAAACTTCCATACATGCATTGCTGTTAGCAGTTGCACCCTGAATTGTATCCGGGCAGTGTATGGATCACCAGTTAGTCCTATGTACATCTTGGGTAGGTAGGGACAGCCAGCTGTCTAGAGTAGTTACATTGTTCCTACTCCACCACAACACTGGTTCCAATTTCTCTACATCCTTGCCAGCTCTTGGCTTTGCCTGTCTATCATTGTAGCTATTTAAATGATTGTTCTAGGCCTCATAGCTTCAGTTTATATTATGTGCGACTTCTGGATTTATTAGAATAATTTTAGTATCTCATGATGTTCCAGAACATATTGTAGCTGGGCACTAAGATTACTTCTAGTCTTCATTACTTACAGTAAGCAGCTTTGTGAATGAGTCTTTTCCATCTTTCAGATGCTTGGCAGGATTTTTTTTTGTTTACAAAATTTAATAAATTCTAAAATTATAGTATCACTCTAAAATGTTACCCACAATATAGAAGGGCTCCAGGCCTTCCAGCAGTATCAGATGTGGTGTAGACCTCATCTGGACCAGGGTAGCCTCTATCCCAAGCTCTGTCTCTCTCCTTCTTCCCCTAGAGTGAGGCCTGGCCACAGCCGCTCCTGCTTCCTAGGCCAGCAGTGCAAGAGGGGACATCTTCCTGGGTAGCAGCCTGCCTCCAGCCACATATTCTGCTATATTTTGGAAGAATAGAGGGGCATCTCTTGGAGAACTAATTTAGGTGGAATAGGCAGATTTAGTTACTTTGCTGGAATTTGACAGTTTTTCCAAATATTTACCATGCATACTCCTCTTTCACGGGTTCCTCCCCTTTATGCCTACATCACTAATGACTTTTGTTTATTCCTGCCAGCAATTATTATAGAATTTTAGTAGTTGGTCTAGTTTGATTTCTGTTGTTATGAACACACATCGACAACTTAGAGAAGAAAAGGTTCATTTGGTTTACAGGTCAAAGGTCATCACATTAGAGGGTGGGGTGTGGAGAGTCAAATCAGGAGCTCAAGCAGTCTGTTGACTACATCACATCAGCAGGCAAGAGCAGAGAGAAACAAATGAGTTCATGGTCAAGGATTGCTTTCTCAGCTAGCTTTCTTCAGTCTTATACAGCTCAGGCAGGGCCCAGCCAGTGGGAGGTGGCAGAGATGGGACTACCCACAGTGGGTTGGGTCAATTAGCCATCAGGACAGTCTCCCACACAGTTGTTCACAGGCCACCCTGATCTAGATAATTCCTCAACTGAGACTCTCTTCCCAGGTGATTCTAGGTTGTGACAAGTTAAGACCAGCCATTGAGGTAGTCTTGTGCTTTCTAAGTTTCAGTATTTGCCTTGCAAATGTTTTGATTTGTGTGTCATTTGATGAGAGCAGACAAGTGAGTAACTTCTCCCTTTGAGCAATGTCTAGAGTGGCTCTCCAGCCAGGCCATAGCCCTGTTGGCTGAGGCTCATAGACCAGAGGTCTTTGGGTATTCCAGTGGGAAAGTTAGGAGCCCAGCCTGCCAAAGAACATGCATCAGTCCAAGGCGTGAATGCACTGCCCAACTGTCCTCTGATTCTCACTCTTAGGAGACTGTGAACTGGGCCCTGAGACCTGCTATAACAGCTCATAGCAGGTCTGGCCTGAGTGTTCTATTCTGCAAGAAGGTACCTGCTCACCATGCAGTGGGGGCAATGTGGGAGCCCAGTGGAGTGCACTGAGGCCTCTCCTACTAATATGTATTTGGCTCTCGCTGTTCTGAGAGTTCTGAGACACCAGAGAGCAGAGCCTCAGAACCACACTGCAGCTCCTGGAGTCTGTCTGAGCTTTGTGAGTGGGCAAGCCAGGACCCAACTTCCTGCATTTCTCTAAACCACACTCCCCTCTTGGATTTTCAGGGCAGATCCACACTCCATTGAGGGATAACCCTTGGAGTAGAAGGAAATGTGCATCTTTCTTTCTCATCCTTCTGAGTGAAAAGTTAGATAAGAATAACTGTTGACGTCTCACCTTTCTGGGTGTCATGCTCTCAGGGATTTCATCTTTGGTGTGCTCATCGTTATACTTTTCTATCCTAGATGATGGATTTGGATGTCCTTCTATGAAGCAATGCCACGTGGTCCAAAAGCAAACATGTCTGGTAAGTCACGTGTTGAATTGACTGAGCAGTAGCCCAAGTCTTTGAGTATGTAGATGTAGACAGAAGATTGTGTGTTTGGGCATATGGACACCTTTGAGAGGGTGTTCTTCACAAGGCTAATAGCTCTGTTGGTTATCCTAACTTGTGGAGGCTAGTTCCTTCTAGAACCAGCAGGGATTGGAATGCATGGGGTTGGACAGACCTGAAGTTCCCTTCTTGCTGTCTAACCTACGTCTGAGAGCATGGCAGAAGCTCTGTGCTGAACCAGGGCGGCCTCATTCTGACTCGGCTACAGTGGCATTCTGTCACGGCCTCTCCGTCCCCAGTGCCTTACCCTTTGGTTAAAGGTAGGCTTGACACTGTGGAGAATTTCTGAGACCAAGACACACCAGAACTTGGGTAGCTGAAGGAAGGGAAAGTCAGGCTAGAGCTTTCAAGCTTTGTCTTCCCATGTTCTGCCTCGAAGGTGGGCAGTGCCTGTGGGCAGCAGAGATCTTCACATAGTCTTTGTCGTAGCAGCGGTTGTGCTGTGGGAGTTGATAGAAGATTGTAGAGATTCTATGAGACTTGCCAGTAGGATGCTAGAGAGCATCAAGAAAGATATAAAAGCCTTATTTTATGATTACAGTTAGGCCATCATGTAATGTGGCCTATTTTGGTTGAAGGGGATCCTGTGGGTCCACAGTACCAGAGGGGTGGGGAGGAGGAGGAGGAGAGCAGAAAGTAAGAGACATTCCGGCACAGTTCCACACATGTCACGAGAACTGGGTTCAGCCTCTTGTCATAGGTCCTGTTCTCTTGGCATAGGAACACAATTTCTCCATCATCACACTCCTGACGCCTATCTGTGTTTGCCCCCATGTCTCAGGGCTGCTGCCATCTTAGGAATCCAGGGCCTGGAGACAGCTCTTCCCTGAGGAATCAGGAGAGGTGTGACCCAGGAACAAGAAGCACATCCTCACCAATGACATCATGACAGCAAGAGAGCACAGCCCTCGCCATGGTGCCAGGGCCCGTGCGATGCAGCGGGCTTCCACCATCGACGTGGCAGCCGACATGGTGGGCCTCTCTCTGGCAGGTGAGCCTCAAGCCTATACTAGGCATCTGGTTAGGAACTTGAAGGACTCGGGCTCCATGCTGTAACACTGTTGGAAGGGCCAGGGGCAGCTGGTGACTAAGCCATTGGGAGAGGGTGTCCTGGTGTGGTAGCCTTCTTGTTGGAGTAGGACTCAGAAGAGGGGGACAGCTAGAGCCCTGGGAACTGGTCTTGTGAGACTGATCACCATTCCTTTGCTAGCTTGGGTGAGCACCCTGGGCTTGCCTCCCAGTGGGCAAAATGGAAAGGGGTCTGAGATTTCTTCAGAATCTCTAAAGTAAACTGTTTCAAAGTATAGAAATCATCTACTGTAGTATTTTGGGATGGGCTAGAGGAGTTAGTGTTTGTTTCTATTTTTGTGCAGAACAAATGCAAGCTAAATTCTGGGGAAGGTTTGTTGTGGGTGACTTTGTCATTTCTCTTCTACCAGGAAATATCCAAGACCCAGACGAGCCCATTTTAGAATTCAGCTTAGGTAGGTACCTCTCTCTTGGTTTTTGTTACTGTTCGTCTGTCTCTGAGAACCACTGAGTGCTTCTGAGTGCCGTCACCACTGCTGAGATGTTTCTGAGGAGACAGAGCATCTCAGAGGCTGCTTCTCATAACTGACCATCCTCCTGTGGCTAAGCCACCTGCTGATGGAGATTTGAGTTGTGTCTAGTGGAGACTATTATGAATAAAGTTGCAGTCAATGCTTGGGTGCCAATACTTTTGTGGGGTAAATGTTCATGCTTTAATGAAGTGTTTTGAAGGCTGTGTGGTGCTGAATTTGTGTACAGAGCAGGCTAAGTGAGCTCCAGTGCAGTGACCGCAGGGCTGGGCACACTGTTTCACATCTGGTACAGGAGTCACTTGTCTCTTTGGAGGGAGTGGATGGTTACTTTCTACAGGGGAAGTGTCACCTGAGTGGAGGCGTATACCTGGCAGAGTGAAGATGAGGGCCAGGGCAGAGGATGGAAGAAGCTTGCAAGAGTTTGGGCTTGGGTTCCCTTTACCTATAGTGGTGGTGGGGTGAAAATGTTCTCAACGGTGGGAGTGGCTACGTGGACATAGGAACTTCTAAAACTCATTGAGCTGTACACTTCAAATGGGTGTGTGCTATAAGAAATGCATACCTCAGAAGTGCTTTAGAGGAAAACAGAAGTCAGACTACCAGCCTCATGTGGTAAGCCTACAGCATGAACCAAAACCAGAACTTGGATAAAACAGGTATTGCAGAAGTAGAAGAAAACACCAAAGAAATTGTAATACACCTTCTAGAAAGGAGGGAGTGCCTCTCTGTGCTCAGTGACGGGCTACTGTTTATAACAGGCAGCTGAGGAACAAGTTTAAAACCTAACAGATGAAATTTCCAAACCCAGTAAAGCCAGGAAGGTAGCCTAGAAACGGTCTCAGCAAGCAACATAGGAAACAGGAGAAAGCTGGGCAGTCCAGGATGCCCATCATTTAAAAGAGAAAATGGAAAAACTAACACAAAAGAAGTTTAGAAATAATGCAAGAAATCCTTCAGAACTGAAGAATATGAGTTTAGTTTAAAAATACTCGTCAAGGCGTCTTGTTTTCCACGAAGTCTGGAAAGTACCTGGCTGTCATTTTGTCAAACGTTCTTTCTCCTTGTCCCACTTTTCCCTCTCTTCCGGAACTCTGGTTAAACCTGTGTTGGTGAACTTGGTGATCTTCCAGGACTCTCTGAAACTGTTTTTTTTTTTTCTTTTTATTTCTTTCTGTTCTTCAGACTAAATAATTGTAGCTGACATCTCCAAAGATGCTGACTCTTTCTTTGTCTGCCCACAGTTGAGCTGCTCTTAATGATTTTTCATTTCCGTTATTGTACTTTGAATATTATCTACATGACTAGTTTTATGGTTTCAGTTCCTTCACCGATACTCTGTATAACAAGACATTTTCCTCAGACTTTACCTAGTTTCTTAGTAAGTCAAACATCTGTGTCCCCCTCAGACAGGTACTGTTGACTGTTTTTTAGTTTTTAAATTCATCTAGATATGAGCAGTATTTCTCTTGTGGGTTTTTTTTTTTCATGTTTCATAAATTGTGGCTTAAGGTTAGACATTTTGAACAATGTGATATAGCAACTTTGGAAATCAAATTCTCCCCTTCCCCAAGGTTTTTTGTTCCTACTCTTGTTACTGCTGTTGCTGGCTGCTCATTAGTAGCCTCTCGTCATGTGTGGATCCTGGAGTGACTGCTAGGTCACTTAGTGGTCAAGTTCAATTTGAATGGATATACCATATATATTGGAGACAGAGTGTCACTGTGTAGCCCTAGATGGCCTGGAACTCACAGAGATCTCACACCTGGCTGGATAGAAAACTCTTTAAAGCTCAAAGAACTAAAGACTTTTGGTCTGAGTTTTGCTAAGTGTGTGTGCGCATATTGTTCCCCATCTTCAGGGTTCACTTCCTGCTTCTGCTGACCACCAAGGGTGGGTACTCTAAGGTGATCACTCATCATCTCCTCAGTTCTTTTCTGAGCATACAGATATCCTCGGACATCTGCATAACCCCCTACGTGTGCGGCTTCCATGAATGTCGGAGCTTTGCAGAGGGCCGGGGCCTGGGCCTGTCCTTCACTGCCTAGCTTTTCTTTGAAGTGTTCATTGTCTGCTAAGCTTCTCTGATCACCTGCTTGTTTGCCCCATGTGTCAGTATTGTCCTCTCCAGCTGCAGTATTTAAAGAAACAGTGACTGATTTTGGTTGCTGCTGCCATCGTCATGGTAAAGATGCAATCAGGACTTCAGCCCAGCCCCAGCTTCAGCCTGATGGCTTCTGATGGACAGTCTCAGGAAAAAAGAAAAAAAGCTGTTTCTTTCTACTATGTAAACTCTGGCTTAGGTCAAATAAAGACAAGTTTGTTTGTTTTTTTTTCTTCCAGAAATGGTCAAATAGTGATTGTTATCTTAAGAATGGGGCTATAGAAGGTCTCCAATCATATCCTGTCCATTATGGTGACTTCTGACTACTGGTTTTCGCCATGATTTCAGGTGGCCAAAGACTGGCCACCAGAAGACTAGTTAAAATAAACAGCATGGGCCTGCAGTGTCCTCTGTAGCATCTGAAATAATAAGGCAGGGCCCATATCTATTAACATTAAAGGATGCCAGCGACTTTGGTACATGAGAAAAGCCTATCAGGAATATTGGCATGACGTATCTAAGTAAATCCACTTCTACCACCAATTCACTCCAACTCTGCAGGTCTTACTCTGCTAAGTGAACGACCAAACAAAACACTGGAAGGCCGTAAACCCAAATCCCACAGATGGTTCTCTCTAACAGTTTTCTCTGAATGAAAGATTTTACAACAATCTGTTGTTATTTAAAAATGTCCAGCTTCTTTGATTTTTTTTTTTCTTTTACAGTTCAGAATATTTGCCTATTTAGCTGTCTTGCTTCTGCCATCTGAGAAGCAGTGAGGGTGGGGTGGAGGTGAGATCCACTTCCTGAAATCCCTCCTCGCCCGCCGCCTTCTTAGGCTGTCCTTCCTCCTGGGCAAGTCTCACTGCAGGACTCCATCACTGCTTCTGATTTGCTGGCTTGAGAAATGTCGTGGATGTCTCTTCATCCATCTTCTATATTCCGTCACTTCAGTTGCCGCTCTTTGCTTAAAGTCACGTTCTACATACTGACACTTAAGCAAACACTGCTTATCAAAAGCCACATGGGATTTCTTTACCCTCTGCCCAGTGTGAACGGTTTCTTGGGAACAGTGTCATTTCCCCCTCAGGTTACCCCATTTTGGGTCACGCACACTCTTCATCCAGGAGATGGCTATGGGGGAAGAGAAGCTGTTTGGGAAGCTGTCTGAGACCCCTCGGAGCCGACACTCGCTGCCTTCGGCTCTTAGGTTCCACTGAGTGTGCATGGCCAGAAAATCCCAGTGAAAAGACAGTTAAACATGCTTTCTCATTCTTCCGGAATGAAAAGTGAAAAGACAGTTAAACGTGCTTTCTCATTCTTCCGGAATGAAAAGTGAAAAGACAGTTAAACGTGC